GACTAGAAGTGCAATTATTTAAGAAAATGAAGAGGTATAACCACAATATGGATTGTGTGGCTAGACATTTCAACACCTCAAATTTATTAAGGTTTTTCTTTCTTTATCCAACTTGCTTGTTGTATTATTATACCTTTATTCTTTGACTCACAAAAACTTCAAAAAAATTCCTTATTAGATTTAAGAGCATTTACTTGTTTTTTAGATTAAGAAATTTTCAAACTTCATAAAATTCTTTTAATAAAAAAAATAAAAATTTATACATGTAGAAGTAATAGATGGTTGACTTTTATCTTTGAGCAATGTGATTCATAAAACCATACTACTAAAAATATCATTTGAAGGCCATAGTAGCAAAATAGTATTCAATATTATTAAAATTCCACACAATCCTATTTTTTTAGGGCTTTTGTGGTTATAAAGATATAATCCATCTAAAGATTGGAAGTACCATAAGATTAAATTTTCTATAGAATCTCTTTAGGCAAAACCTATCAAAAAATCATCAACAACAAAACCGTTATTTCTAGGAGCAAAGGATTTTGTGAAGATAAATAAGAAGGAAATGCCATTTTTTATTTATGCAAGTCAAGGTCATAAAGAAACAAGCTTGCTAGTAGCTATGTGAGAGAAGTACAAGAAGTTTCAAGTTATCTTTGAAAAAAAGAATGTTGATATATTTCTAGAGCATTGACTATATGATTGTGCCATCAATCTTCAAGAAGGGGCTCAAACACCATTTGTCAAGGACATGAATCTCAATGAAAGAAAATCCTTAATACATTCATGTATCATTGAAAGGAGCTAAAAGGTCACTCAAAGATGATATAATATTAAACTAAAATAGCTATTGCCAAAAAAAAGAAGATTAGAAAGTATTGAAACAAGACTAAGGACTAAAAAGGCATTGACATGAGTAAAGAAGGCTTCACTCTTGCCTCCATATATATTCTTAACTAGGAGCTATGAGGAGATATCTTATAGGACCTCCAAAGTATGTTGACTTTGCTAGCCACATGTCTTAACTTGTAAGGCAAGTTATCTATGTATGCGCCACAATTTAGCTTGTTCCATAAGCTATTACACAGAGTTAACTTGTCCCACAAGCTAACAACCTGTAGTTAACTTATTGGCCAAGTTTCAATCCTATAAATACATCTAAAGTCAAAACCACATCTATGAAGCTTCAAAGAAGCTACCCTAGAAGACTTTATGAAATTAATCTATATTTACTTACTTCTATCTAATCATATAAGTAACTATTGAGATAAATGTATATGTATGTGACACCATTTTGTCCAAACTACAATCCATTATAGAACAAGCTTTCAACATTAAAAGATTACATCAACAAAAATCTTATAAAAAACTTTATTTGGCATTCCAAATCTCTAAAAGGTGCACCAATACTTTTTATGAAGAAAAAAGATGGATCTTTGCAAATGAGTGTTGATTATTGCAACCTCAAGAAAATAATTGTGAAGAATCATTATCTATTATCATTGATATCAAGGCTTTTGGAACAACTTGGTGAAGCTAAGATCTATACTAAAATAGATCTCTTTTGAGCATACAATTTGATATAAATTAAAGAATGAGATGAATAGAAGGAAAAATTTCAAGGCTCTTTCTAGATAATATATATCAACATCATGGCCTATCTGATGACATCATTTTTTTTTATTGAGAACCTCAATTTATATCAAAGGTTTGGAATATTATAGGTAGATATTAAACTTTCATCTATCTTTCAACTTCAAACAAATGGTCAAACAAAACAAGCCAATCAAAATTTTAAATAATATTTATAATGTACCATCAACTATTAGTAAGATAATTACACCTTATATTTATCTTTAGCAAAATTTATTTCTAATAATATTTTTCATGCTTTGACTTAGTAAATATCATTTTATTCCAATTATGGTTACTATAAAAATCTTAATTTATTAGATACATCAAAAGATAAAAATCTAATAGTTGAAGATCTTGCAAAATATTTGTCACAACTCCAAATAACTTTAAAGTTCTATTTACAAGTAGCTAAAGATTCTTATAAAGCATCTTCAAATGAATTTAAAAAAGAATTTGTTATTTTTTAAGTTAAAAATAAAATATGGTTTTTTTGAAAAAATATCAAGATCAATCAGCCTTGCAATAAGTTGGACTATCAAAGGTTAGGGCCATTTTATATTCAAAAATAAATCAATTCAATGGCTTATTAATTAGAACTATCCACATTTATAAATGTACATCCATTCTTTTATATATATTTTTTTAAAGCCTTATTCAAAATCAACTATTCTAAGAAAAATATAACTATTATTGCTATGCATTGAAATAGATAATCATGTAGAATATGAGGTGGAAAAGATCCTTAATTTTCAACAATGAAGAAATAAGTTGGAATATTTTATTCACTAGCATAGCTATGATATCAATGAATGTATGTAGGAACTAGTAGAAAACCTAGTTAATGCATCACAAAAGATATAGGAGTTTTTAGGAGGTTATAAAAGATTATAAAAGATTTCTAAAAGATTTTTAGATTTTAAAAGGTTCTTAAAATATTCTAGCAAGTTCTAAAAAGTTCTAAAAAGAATAAGGAAGTTGTTTGAGAAGCTTCTTAAAGTTACTTCATCTTCAAGCAACATGGAAATTTCTTAAGAAGCTTCCTAAGATTGCTTCATCTTCAAGCAACATAGAAACTTCTTAAGGAGCTTCATAAGTTTGCTTCATCTTCAAGTAATATGAAAACTTCTTGAGAAGCTTCATAATACCTAATATATATTAGAATTGATGCTGAGGAGATTCTTAGTTTCAACAATACATCTTTTCGAGTATTAGATCACCTTTCTTGGTATTGATCTTGTACTTATGTAATTTAATCAAGTTCTTATTAGCTTTCTTATTAAAACTCTTTTATTCAACTTCTTCTTTGGTCTCTTGTATAGTATATATATAAAAGAAGTAGCAAAAGTAGATTAATTTCATAATATCTTCTAGAAAGCTTTCTAGAAGCTTTATAGATACGGTTTTGACTTTACATGTATTTATAGTTTGTTGATAGGTTAGAAACTTGGTCAATAAGTTAACCACATGTCACATGTATTGGTAGCTTGTGGAATAAGTTAATTATGTGGTGCACATTTAGAAAACTTGCCTAATAAGTTAAGATACGCATCTTGCAAAGTCAATACATATTAGAGATCCTATAAAATATTGTTATGTAATTCCTAATTAAATAGTATATATGGAGGCAAGAGTGAAGCCTTCTTCACTCTTATTAGTGCCTTTCTAGTCCTTAATCTTGTATGAAGACTTTCTAGTTTTCTTGTCTTTGGCAGTAGCCATTCTAGTTCAATATATTATCATCTTTGAATGACATTCTAATCTTTTTGAGTGACACAAGAGTGTATTTAGTTTTCTTTCTTTGAGATTCATGTCCTTCACATGTTATTACTAAATTAATAGAAGAACTTAAAATAAAATAATTAAGTAATAGAAAGAATTACTTAGACATAGAAAAAATCTAACCACAATATTTATGTGCCAAGAACTTATTTAAAAGGAACAAATGTAACAATATTGATTTATTAAAATATATTTTAAAAATTAAGATTAATAAATATATATAATTTTTTAATTTATATATTAAATAGATAAATATTTTATAAATTATATTAATCTTTTTTATTATTTTTTATATAAATTAATATTTAGTTATGAAAATAACATTGTATTAAAAATAAAAATAACTAAGTAGAACAAAAAATATTAAATTTTAGTATTAAAATTTAAACTAAGCTAACAAATCTTATTTAAAAAAATCACTATATAATATAGTCATTTGATTTTTTTTTATTGATAAGAAGTTTAATTAATTATAAAAGTTAAATTTTACAATAATTAAATAGACTTTCAAGAAAAATCATCATTAGGATTTTAAAATATATATTATATGCATGTATTAAATTACAAAATGGTATTTATAAATATAAAACTTTGGCCAAAAAATAAAAAATATATTATTAAAAAATAAAATTTAACAAAGATTATATTAAATATGAAAATAATTAGTAATTCCTTCTCTTTATTCCTATAAATAACTATGGAATATCATAAAAATTACATCATGGTGTGGCTTGTATTATAATTTTATAATTGATAATATTTATGTTACAATAGGTTATATATTGATGCATGTATAAAATAATAAAAATATGTGTTATAATATGTTATAATTTTATTATGACACATGTATAACACATATATAGAAGTGATATTGCAATATGAAGAGATATTAAAATAAATAAAATGATTATAGAAGTTTGTACTAGGATGTTAATATAATCATACTATGCAGTTAGTTAAGCCAATTAAGAGAGTTTTAATCTTGATAGATGGATTGCTTAGATGAATTCTATCCACAAAGGATAAAATATTCCAATAATTTATATATAATTATATAGAATATCTATACTTGCATAAAAGTACCTTATGTTTTATTTAGCAATAATTGACATTAATTACTAAATAAGTTCATGTTAACATCACTAATTTCAATTTATATATATATATATATATATATATATATATATAAATTCTAATAACATTAAAATTAATAAGTCACTTTTGATTTTATTTGTTTTTAAATTGTTTTATTTATTTTTAAATTGTTTTATTTCTTTATCTACAAAAATTATCTTTAAGTTGAAAACAAACCATACTCATATGTATATAAAGAACATTGAAAATACACCCTCTTATATATGTACATTCTTTAACAATGTAGATTTTAATAAGATACAGAACAATAGTTTTAGATCAACATGTAATACACACAATAAGATTAAAAATTAAATAAAAATAAAAATAAATCTCAAACCCTAATTCAGACCTGATTAACTATTTCACACCTAAATAATTCAAGTACTCACCAAATGAACATAACCAGCCTCTGATCCACATTCGAGTGTTGGAGTGAGTACACAAGGATCATTGCGAAGCAAATACATGGAAAGGCTTCAAATTAATTTCATGGTAAGGTCGTATGTACAGAAGACAGCACAAAACACTTAATTCCAATCAGATTCCAGACCCTTCCGGTACGACAGCACATATAGATTGCTATAGTACCCAAATCTGAAATCCAGTCATTCTCATTTAATTTGTGGAGAAGCCTCGTAATCATCCACCCTAAAATCTCTACCACTGCGTATATATACCAATGCAGCAAGTCCTGTTACAGCAGCACCGAGAACAAAAGCAAGGACCACAGTGAACAAGCCATAGACTTGATTACCAGCCACGAAACCAGAAAAGGTTGAAGTGTATACTCGAGACACTGGAGATGCTTCAGCTTCAAGACGCACCATGTGAAGGTCCAGAACACCATTCTGATTCATCACAGTTGTTGCAACTGGGGAGGTGAATTCAACCACATCATGGATTAACCCGTCGTGGTTGCCAACATAAGACACCTTCATCAAGCTTTTGGTGGCATGAATCCTGATGTATCCGAATTCAAAGCTGCGGTACATCGACCACACCGGCTGTGGATAGATAGGTGCCAAGGGACGGTCGGGACGGGGCTGGTCAATAGGTTGCCAGTCCTGGCCACCCATTCCAATCACCATGTGCACAGGGTAAACCCCGTTCTCTGCATCCATGCAAGTCCTATTTTGCAGTGGGCATGTGCGCTCGTACTTGTGAACATGACCCCAAAGTGCGAGACTGACCTTGTGTTCCACCAACAAGGGCTCGAGATACTCTATCAGTTTCGCCGTGATGATCAACCTCATGGCTTTGTTGTCAGACGAGTACATGGGCCTGTGTCCTTGAAACACAATGAACGGCGTCTTCTGACGATCCGTGTTCTTCAGGTCTTCAGCGATCCACTTGTACTGGTCACTGCCTGGAGTAAAATCTGTCTCGGTGGAGATCCACACAAAATGAACCACACCGAAGTTTAAAGAATAGTAGAGGTTTTTCGTATCCGGGATGCCTGAGATGTCACTCCTCACAGGTTCAGAAGATTTCCCTGGCATTACAAATCGCATGCTGTAAGGCACTCCACATTCTCCACCGCTGTCTTTTCCATACGGTGCCCACTCTGGCTTGAAAGGCTGCGTAGGAAAGTCGTACTCGTGGTTCCCAATGCAAACATGCCATGGAACTCTAGCCGCAACAGGCTCAATTTGGTGGAAGAAGTTGTCCCAAAGCCAGGAGTAACCTCGTGCGTAACTAATATCACCGATGTGGGAGACAAGAGTTGGCCGATTACCCAGCAGCTCAATATCACGTTGCAACCATTTCATGGTGTTGACGCTTTCGTACTGCACCCAATTGAATGTCCTGTATGGAACATATGTGCCCATGTCACCGAAGAGGAGTGCATCAGTTTCAGTCCCATCCACATGAGCAGCCACGAAGTTGAACGTCTTGCTCCACCCAGTTTCCTCGGCTCCTACCTGCACAATGCTCAATAAAACCTCGATGACATTTGAGTTCTCAAAAACTGACCATCTTATTGTGCAGGTATACTGGAGCGAAATGAATATTAGAGAGAAGAATGGCCTACCTGATAGAAATATCTAGCGCCTGGTTCGAGTTTGGTCATTTTCGCCAAATGCGTGAACCCCGGGTCTCGCCAGCCAAGCGAAGTATTAGCTGGTGCATGGCACATATCCTTCTGCTCATACGTCTTGGTAGATGCAATGGCAGTAACAACCAAATTGTCGCTCTCTTTGCCATACCTGACATAAGTCTTCAGAGGCTGTTTGGTCACGTACATGACATTCATCTCCGTCGGATTTGAGGTCAAGGAGAGCCGCACTTGAGTCAGTTCGTTGTAGTTTGAGAACTCCACAAGTTCGGTAACAGCCAGACGTGTCGTTATGCTCGGTATCGGTATTGAGTCTTCGTCCAAAGGAGTATCTTCGCTGGGTGGGTAACCTCGAAACAGACGGAACTGATATGGAGCTCGCATGTTCACTACTCCACAAGAAAATAACAGATGACGTCAGGCCTCCAGGGGCAGCCACACAAACCAAGTACGAATACTAACAGGTGCATATGAAATAACAAATTCACTTGAGCAGATTTACCTGCAGGAAGCATATGGGAGCCTTTGCCGGTCTCCCAACCACTAACAGAAGACAAAAGTATGTAGCCTATGTAATGGTTGTCGGCAGACTCCGGTGGCGAGTAAATTCCCAACCAATCAAACGCATTTGGAGACTCAAGTTCATTCCAGGATACGATTACAGGGTCGCCGGAAGATTTGAGTAATGTCGTGGACAACTCCAAAGTCACGGCTCCTACCCCAGTCGAGCTAATAAAGACAATGATAATGCTAATGCACAAAATACGATGTGCACCCGTGAGCTCCATCGTGACAGGCACTACGTCTTTTTCAGCCGAAATTAAGCCATGTCAGAACACGAACCAAAAATTGATATAATATTAAATTGAACACAAACTGAATGAAGAGTGAAGATATCTGAGCTGGAAGCTTTAAAAACCAAGGTTGCAACCCTACTTTAATCCGAACGTGGTTAGAATTACGTGTTGTTCAATACTATCAGATTACTTCTGATCTCATTAACCTGAACAAAGCGCCTCGAAACCTAGTACCTACGAGAGCAAATATAAAGGGACGAAAATGGAATCTCTGGAAAACATCATAAACCACCTATCAAAACACATGCATCAGCCACCTCCCCAAAACCTCCGCCAATTCATTCCACTCAATCGTCTCTAAACAAAACAAAATAAATAAATAAATAAATAAATAAATAAAAGTCTACTGCGCATAACTTCAACTCGAGTAAGCAGAAGAAAGAATCGCATTCCACTCACCCCGAACACAACCCAAGAAAATTCGAGTCAAAACAGCTGAATTGCACGCTGGGAGCTTCGCAAAAATTCACCGGAACAGTGAGATGGCTCGATTTCTGAACCGATTCCTTTACACAGACGTCACCGAAGTCCAAAATCCAACCAGGAAGGCGTACCGCCAGCACAGGTGAGGCAACGAGAAGCCGAAGGGGTTACGGGAAATCTAATCATCAATTCTCATACAGACAGGTACTCCCGCCCCTTGCTTCCGCGTCTCCCCAACTACACGCCGAGCCTGGCGTCGCATACGGGACAACCTCGGGCAGTGCAAACAACATCACTTGGCTAGCGAAGTAGAAGAAGCTTGGCAGCGAAGCAAAACAAAACACAATCTCGGGGACTGAGAGTGAATGGAAGGAAAGAAGCGAAATAGCACAAACAAACGTATATGCTCGGCACCGTCATCCCACCTCCACGCAACTTCCTCCTCCCCGCCCACTAGATTTTTTAAAACACTTGCTAGATTCCTATATAATAATAATAATAAACATAAGGAAGATTAGGTTTAAGATAAAGAAGCCTTTTTATTTTTCTTTGTTGGTCAAAATCAAAGAAATTGTTAACCAGTAGAAAACCCTCTAATTTACTATCTTTAATAGCTTTTTTGTGCACAACAGCACGGGTTTCCACTGCGGTTTCTGCTAATATATATAAATATATATAGATAGATATGGTTGTTACTACAGAATACTTTGTTCAAGAATACTTTGTTCAATTATCCTTACTGGAATTTATAACTATTACGAAATTGCATCAACTTATTATAAATTAAACTTCAATGAGAAGAATAGATAATAAAGAGTTTTATCTATTGAATAGAACTATCATAAAGTATGTGGTAGCCTCCTTGGGCTGCCCCTACTGATTGGGACATTTTGCATAGATTTGATTGAAATAGGGTTTGGTAAAGTTAGGACCTTGGTTACACAATTCTAATTGCATTGTTCCAATTTCGAACTGTGTGGGTCCACTGTGTTCTTTTTCGTGCAGACTTATTGTTGTTGATTCTGTGTCTTTATAACATTGCTGAATTTTCTTTTTGAGAGTCATCTTAACTTTTCTCTGTTTCAAATGGCTATTATATATGTGTGTATATATATATACATATATATACAAAGGTTTTACTTTTACTTAGTCAAGGTAGACTCTTAATCTTCCTTTGTAGTATTTTTCTTCTTTCTTTTAGTTTTTGGTGTGACTTACAATAATTTGTGTGATAATTTTTTTGGTTGTTGGGATTGCAATGTGATTTTTTCAAATTGATACACCAACGATAGTATTGAATCTTATGATGATACATAAATTGTTACTAAATCGTTAACGAGTAGAAAGCCGTGCTTAGTAGTAAAAGGGGTGTCCATCTAATAAAATGAGTGTCCACTCACTAAAAGGGGTGTCCACCTTAAATTACCGCAATGCATTTATTATCAATTCTCATACTACAATGTACGTTTCATTTACGTTCATTTGTTAAAATAACACATGATTGAAACACATGACAATATAATTTCTTGATGAAATGAATAACAATAACGCCAACTGAAGGAAGTAACCATCGCAGTGGGAACAAAGAATGGATGAATAATACTAACACATACACACGTTCTGTCCATCTATCCATCCATCCATCCAGAATGAGAGTTTTGAAGTGTCGGTGGAGCGACGAGGCTTCACTTCCTTCCACTCCCCTGCTGGTCTGTGCTCGTGCTTCGCCTTCCTGGTTGAATTTTGGACTTCGGTGACGTTTTTGTGAAGAATTCGGTTCAGAAATCGAACCATTTCGCGGCTCTTGTGAATTTTGCGTAGCTCCTACTACGAAATGGAGCTCTGCTGAATTTGGGTTTTTTTGGGTTGTGTTCTGTGTAAGTGCAATACAATCCGACGGAAGATCTGCTGGCAGTAGTTTAGATCCCAATTATCCAAAGCAGGAAAGGACCAGGGTTTTTGGTTTAGTTTAATTTTCTCCGTGTATGTTTGGTGTGAGTGCAATGCAATCCGACGGATGAACCCCCTGGCACCAATACAGGTCCCAATTATCCGAAGCGGCAAGGGTTTAGGGTTTAAGGTGTTGAATTTTTTTGCTTTTGTGATCGAGTAGTTTTGTGTTCTGTGTGAGTGGACTGCAACACAATCCGACGGATGAACCATTGGCACCAATTTAGGTCCCAATTATATAAAGCGGTAAGGGACCAGGTTTTAGGGGTTTATCGTAGATGAGGGTGTGAGAATTGGTTTGATAGAGTAGAAGACAGGTCTTTGAGAGTGTGTTGTATTTCACCATTTGCCCACAACTATGAAGGAGGTGAAGGGAGCTATTGTTGGAGGGTCGCTGCAGTCGCAGATATGCACAGTAGCAGCTTCCGACGTTGAGAGCAGCTCCAGTGCTCGATTATGGATGTCGGAGGAGGCTATGGTGTCAGCACGAATTACAACTGGATGCCTGGTCGCCGTAAGTAGTTTACTTTTGTGCACTCTGTCACTGCGTAAAAAATTTGCAAGGGATTTCCCATGATTGCTGACGACGATTGTGAACGTGTGGCGTGGGCAACAGGTATCGTTACGAGAGTTGGATTCGGATGGGTCCTTGGATGTGAAGGCTCTCGCTTCTCTAATAAACCTTAGCAGCTCATACTTCAGCGTTGAGGTACCAAGCACGTTGAAGTCCAATTCTGCGGGTAATGTTTTTGCTGTTGCAGAAGTGTGGCCCTCTCGCAAGGTGCTAAATCCTCACTAACACTCTGTTTTCGACAGTTATATTCAATATTTTAGGTGTTTGTCCCAAACAGTTTTGTTTCGATTTCCGTAACTTCATTAGGATTTTCATGCATTTGTGTTGCAGTTGGTACGTTTTGGAGTTCGGCTTTCTAAGCATGTGGCAACAAGCTTAGGCAATCCTCGTCAAGGATCATCTATCTTCTTGAATCCTATCTCAGTGGGTCAGAACACAAGTAAAGGCGACAACACAAGTATTCATAGATTAAGTGCTGAAATTAGTGAGTGTACTCATTTGGCACTCCAATGGTGTCCCCCGCTAGAGAACAGTATCTTGCCATCTACGCCATTGCCCCCACCTAGTCCAGTGTTCAAAACTCCTACAAGCTCTAATAAGCGGAAGCCCAGGATTTGCACTGGTGCATCACCATCACCTTTCCAAGATAGAGATCAATTCAAAAACTCACCTTCTCCTTCTCCAGTTAGTAAGGGGGATTCCAGGAGACTTGAAAGTAGTCCTAGTTTTAGCAATCAAGAAGATTCAAAATGTTTCACTTCAAATATGGGTAACATTGCTGCAGTTCGATCTTTTTTTGAATGCGACAGAAGCAACGGTATGTCGCTGATAGAACTTTTTGCAGAGAGGTGGTTGTGTGGTCGATATCTAATGCGAGGAAGTCTTTTAAGTTTGCCTGTATGTGGATGTGACTGCTTTTTCGTGGTTGTTCGAATCGAGACACCCTCTGATTCGACTATCTTGGAAGACTCCGGTGTTGGACCATTTTCATTGTCTTCTCTTCCTATTTACAAGGTGTGTTTGACTTGACATCTGCGATGTCTCGTTCACTTCTATGTCCGTACAGCTGCTGACATTGGATATCTTTACTTGTTTATCACTTGTTTAATATTATTATTATTTTAAAATGTCCTTTATTTACTTATCTCTGCTTCAACATGTATTTTTTGACTATAAGGTGACCCATAAGACAAAGATCACACTCATTGGACCTCCAGGTGCAAAGTCTACACCACAATCAGAAGGGCAACAAATACAGCCCTTGGTGGAAGGTGACAAGCCCGCGGGAAAGGTTTCGGAGGAAGTTCATTACACAAGCCTCGGGGGACTTGAACAGGAGATTGAAGGAATCAAGCAGATTGTTCGGTTCTCATTGCTTCAGCCAGAACTTCTTGCTGGGTGCGTATAATTTTCTTGCATCTATTATGCCTCTCATTTAAGTTTTGTAAATACATAAATTGAAAAGCTTGTAGGTGGATCTCAGAATTACATAGCTGTTGTGACATTTTGTGGGCGCAGTTTTTCAAATATTTTCTTTTATTTGCATCGTGTTATCTTCGATAACACTACAGCACATGAATCTCAACTTGACTTCGAGTTTCTGTCATTCGCTGTCTTCTCTTTATGGATCCCTCATTAGTCTTTGTTTTGTTATCTCTGAAGGGATTCCTGCAATCTGTAAGAACTGTTGTAGTTTTTCTGTGACGCAACCTCTGCGTTGTATTTCAAGTTGGTTTAGGGTATGGCTGGATCACTCTACTTTAAGGTCCTCTTGATTTGCTTACGTCGAGTATCTATGAGGCTCTTCAATTTGAGTTATATTTTTTTTGATATTTTTTGTTAGGTATGGGTTGCCTCCACACCGAGGAATACTATTATATGGCCCTCCAGGAACGGGCAAGAGTACATTAGCAAGAGCAGCGGCTTGTGAAGCGGGAGTACCATTGTTTGCCATCAATGGTCCAGATGTTGTCAGTCAATTTTACGGTGAAAGTGAGGAAGCGTTGAGAGCAGTGTTTACTGCTGCGGAAGAGGCTGCTCCCTCTGTGGTACTCTCATATCTATATTATCTCACCATGGATTACTCTCTGCAACTTTGTAATTTTTAGAAAGCTCTTGTTGCTGTCATTGTCGTCGTTGTTGTTTCGTTCTTTGTCCTCTTTTAAAACAAAATTCTAATACTATAATTTCATGTTTGTAGGTTGTCATAGATGAAGTGGATGCTATTGCACCTGCAAGGAAAGAAGGAAGTGAAGAATTGGCCCAACGCATGGTGGGTGCCTTGCTGAAATTGATGGATGAGGGTGGTAACAAACGTGTACTTGTCATTGCTGCTACCAATCGACCTGATACCCTTGACCCTGCCTTGCGGCGTCCTGGCCGATTCGATAAAGAAATTGAAATAGGTGATTATCATCCTCAGCCTGCCATTCTTTCCTCAGTGTGTCTTAAGCCGCCAGTACTTACCTTTTTAGTCTGATTTGCAGAGCGAGTGTAGCTTGGGATGTCATAGTTTCTCTCCATGTACATTTGCATAGCTATGCCAACTATCAGCAATTCACATGCTTCAGGGTTCCTTCTACATACTTGTAAGTCTGTAGCTAGTTACACAGTATGTCCGCTGACGAAGTTGTGCTCTCGTGCAGGTGTACCTACGTCTAAAGGCAGGCACGAGATACTTAGGTCTCTTCTTTCCAAGATGAGGCACAGTCTACAAGATTCAGAAATTTTAGAACTGGCGGCTGGTACGCATGGTTTTGTTGGTGCAGACTTATCTTCTCTATGTCATGAAGCAGCTCTTTCTGCCCTTCGTCGCTCTATACAACTTAAACCCAAAGTTTCCTCCTCGTCGACTTTTGCGTCACCGACCAAATCTCAGTCTCACAATGTCATTAATTTCGCACATAATAACGGGAACGCTGAAGTTTCGTCGGAAAAAATCGATGCATCTGCAACGAGTGTGGGTAGCTTGTGTACTGCTCTTGAAAGTGTACAACTGAACTCAGAGATGCCTCAGATATCTGAGGGCTTTTGTGGAATCAGAGAGGCTGGATTAACTGTCGACTTAGATGACTTCGAAGCCGCTAAGACAAGAGTGCGACCCAGTGCAATGCGAGAAGTGAGTTGACACTCACCTCAAGCCGTTATTTTTATACGCCAAGTTCATTTCCCTTTTATTATGCTTTCTTAATTTCCTCTCTGCTACATTGAATATCTCCTGATTATTGGCTTTTTAAGTATCGTTCAAACCTTCGTAGCATGAATGCCTGTTTTGTTAGATTCTGACGATAAAATATTCAATTCCAAGAACCATAAATGAACAGTGAATATCTTCATGTAAGTTGAACTCACATAGCTAATACTTGGTAAGTTCTTCGATTGAGCTTCACCTAACATTGTGGGTGCTGCGAATATCAAATTTGGGAGAAGACTGTTGAAGGAGTGAGATGCTCGGTCGCTGATATAGCTTCAGTTTGATTGCATCCTTCTAGTATATGATTCATGTGCTAAATCATCTTATTTTACCACATACCTTAAGTTGATGAATGAAACAACATCACGTTGATATATATATATATATATATATATATATATTCATACTAACTTCTATTTGATCGATTCCGAGAACAGGTGATGCTTGAGATCCCAAAGTCGAGGTGGGCTGATATTGGTGGAATGGAAGATGTGAAGCAGCAATTACAAGAAGCTGTTATATGGCCACAAAAGCATGGAGACAGGCTTACCACTATTGGAGCTCGACCTATTCGAGGAGTACTTCTATACGGTCCACCAGGATGCAGTAAGACTCTTCTAGCAAGGGCATGCGCCTCAGAAGCAGGACTTAATTTCATAGCTGTTAAGGGTCCAGAGCTTTTCAGCAAGTGGGTTGGAGAGTCGGAAAAGGCAGTGCAATCTCTGTTCGCTCGAGCTAGGACAGCTGCTCCCTCCATTGTTTTTTTTGATGAAATTGATGCGCTTGCTGTTGCGCGGAGCAGTGGCGACACTGGTGGTCTCTCAGTTGGAGATCGTGTGATGAGCCAACTTCTCACCGAAATGGATGGTATCCTCATTTACCTGAATTTACATTTGAGTGGATCAAAAAATAGGCTTCTGAATGAATATTGTCGCTGATCTTAATATTGAGCATTAGGACAACAGGGCAGTGACAGGTCATATTTGGAATTTCTGGTTTGTGCACTTAAATTGGTAGAAATGAACGATTCAGGTGCGTTTGGATGTAGGTTTGAAACGAAGTACAGGAGTGACTGTGATAGCAGCTACCAACCGACCTGATATTATTGATCCAGCCCTTCTTCGGCCAGGTAACCTCAAGTCTTAACGTTGGACTGTGGCATCGGAAACTAAACTATTGGTGTAAAGTAGTCATTTTGGAAACTCCTTTGTGGGTTTCTGTGTTTGAAGCAGGTGCTTTCTAAGAGAAGGAATTTCGATGTGTCAAAATCGTCTCACATATTCCGAGACAGTCATCCCCATCTATTCATCTTTTCTGCCATAGAAGAGGCTATTGTTGTGCGCAAGATAATCTTACGATTTATCTACTTTCAGCAGTTATCTCATGGTTTTATTATCTGGAGCAGGTCGTTTTGATCGGCAGCTATATGTAGGGCCGCCCGATGAAGCTTCCAGGGAGGAGATATTCAAGATTCAACTAAGAAATACACCATATTCACCTCTTGTAAATCTTGGAACTTTGGCTGCTCGGACACCTTCCTACACTGGTGCTGATATTAGTGCTGTTTGTCGAGTAGCTGCTATGGCAGCCTTGGAGGTTGTACACTTCACCGTGGCACACTTTTTACGTAGTTAGCGCATTGTTACGTATTTTAGGCGAACTTTTAGTTGAATGGTGTATTTTCGATAGTTTACTGAATTGCTGGTCACAAGTGGGGATGAATTAGTAATTGGTATCTGAATTTGAAAATGCACTCAGCTTGTAATGAACCATCCTACAGGAGGACTTGAATGCAGTGCAAGTGGAGGCTCATCATTTCGACATGGCGTTAGCAGAAGTGGTTCCCAGCAATCCTGGACCTAGCCCTGAGTTTTTTACGAAATACAATCGCGGCTTGTTTCACGCAGTCTCGAAAGGTTAAGAGTACCCCAGCGCAGTCGGCGTTAGAATTCAAAATAGAGTGCTGGACTGGTTACAGTGAAAGCTTTGTTTGAGCACATCCCTCAACAGTGCATCAGCTGACCTGACCCCTACATTTTCAATTTCGTATCAACACACTTTTGGTAAATCATATCAACCCCCTGGCTTTTCTGTCATGGCACCTATCTCTCCTGCTGGAGCCCCTCTTAATCTAGTGAATTTAATTTCATTCTAGCGATAACCTAAGAGGAAACATAAACTGTCCAACATCACATGTCTGCACTGCGATTTGTAGTTTTAGCATCTGTATTGGAGTTACCTTCTTTTCATTAATTAATGACCAAATTAGGGCTGTGTAAAAACAAGTTAAGTTGCTACATTTCCCGTTCAGGATATAAGGAATCAAAATGTGACGTTAGCTCCATTATTACTACGAGGAAAATTGTGTATTATGATGCACTGAAAGATAATAATTATTATCTTTAGGTGTCAAGGTTGAAATAGATTTTGAAGCTCTGTGTGGCTTTAGCAGAACGACCCCTTAATTCCATCATCCTGGATGAATGAATGGATGATGTCAGTGAATTCTCACCCACAGGGTGACAATTGGGCAAAGGGTTTTGCTTCTGCCCGCTGCCCCCGACCTCACTGGACAGCAAACTGGGTAGAAACCTTGTGTATGTATTTGAGAATTTTGCTGCTAGGACCGAATTTGGGCATGATTGCGTGCCCCATGGTAGCTTTCAATGATCACACTTGATGTACACATTTGAACCCAAGTGTCTTGGCTTGGGCCTTTTGGGCTCAATATTCTCAGTGCTCAAAATAAGTAGGCACTTTAAAAATAATTTGGCCCTTCTTGAATTCTTGGTTTAAATAAGCATGTACAACAAACTATCTTCTGTTGTGCGGTAGAGTCGATTTCTTCCTACCTGTTTGGTGTGGGTTCAGTTAATCTGCACACATAGTACTCTGAGAAAAATTTAGAGGACACCAGTCATGTGAGGTACTGGAAAGTATTCAACCATCTCACAAATTAATCACGAAAAGAATGAAAGAGTCCGAGATACAAAGCACACCCCAAATTTGTACACAGCTCATTGCACATGCCGAGCGATATAGATGTACACTTTCAAGAAAAATCTCTACGGTTTAGAACATATCTTTTGCACACTGACTTTTAATATTATCAAGGAGCCGCTGACGATGACTGCCAATGGTTAATGATTAGCGGTTGTTAAGTGCTGGATCGCTTTCAGCTCATTAGATAGTTTCACAAACAGTTCGTGTAGGGACATTTAGCGATCGCTGGCACCATGGGCTGCCCTACGCGGTGGCCTCCAGTGAAGGGGGAGCCAAGGCAAACAACACACATGAATCACACTCGCATTGAGGGATCATCGCTAATAGGGTTTTAAAGCTTGTTACATCAAGATTTATTTCCTTCCTCTGATCCCGTACAACATGTGATAATATTCAAGACGTGACCCTGTCTGCGAGCGAAATGTACATCTCTTATTCTATCGAGACAGGTTTCATTAAGAAGTATTTGCTTTATCTGCAAATGGACAATTATTTCTTTCCAAATCGGGATCATCAAAGAACTGCATACTGGGAGTCGGACGTTGCCAATTTGCAGGTCTTGTACTCTGGGAAGCTGGAAGAAGCCAGACACTGATGTCCTGCGGGGCAATGGACGTCGTCTTTGCAGTAGCACCAGAAATGTGGAGTACACAGCTCGGAGTACTCCGGACCTGTTTTCTGCAAAATATTTTGGAAAAGCTCAGGCTCGAAGACTCTCTTCGGGTCGTGCAGATTCTGCATCTCCTGCATTTCTGCGATATTCGTGGCTGGATAGTTATCCCTCACTTTGCAATGAGGGTGAGTGAAGATCCTCTCATGGTTCTTCCCCCAGTGAGGTCGTCCTTTGTATTTGCACAGAGTGAGCTGCTCCAGCGTTTCAGCGACCCTGGACTGCTTGCAAAGCTTGTTAGGGATCGAAGCGGAATGCAAGTGACTCCATTGGACGTGGACGACATCTTCGGAGCCGGCAGCTGTTGATAACAGATTCTTGTTGGCTTGCCCAAATCGTAACCAGAAGTATCCTGGAGGCATGCACCACCTAACTTTGCCGTTGCCGTATCGCTTGCTTAGGCGAGCTTCAGCTTCTGCGACCTCTTCTTTAACAACTCTTTTCACATCCTCGATCCACTCGTCCAGCTGTGACATCTTGATCGTAAACTCTGTGTCTTCAGTGAACATGCCCATGTGGTGTACATGGAAGGAGCACTTTGGGGCGCAGTCGTCGGCCACCATAGCATATTTGGTTGGAATGATTCCGTGTTCGATAGGGGTCCCATCGGCGTCGAGGAACATCGGAACGTCGTGAAGAACCGTAGATAAATTACATACATCTGTCAAAACCCACCACGTGTTAGCAGCCATAATGTGCAAGAGCACAAAGGTGGACACAAATCAGTAGCTACATGGATCGGCGACTGCCATGGTTCATGACTAACCTGCATTCAGCTCGTCGGCAGAAGCCAACTCCTCCGCTTCGTCTCCCTCCCACTTGGTCAGAAGCTTGTTCACAGCGTTTGCGACGGCATCTTCCATCTCAATATAGTACCCAATTTTTCCGTCAGGGTACTCCCTGGGCAATGTTGTCGCGTCTCGGTTCTCATCAGTCAGCTGCGTCCACATCACCGCTTTGTAGGTTCCAAAATCGGGCCTCCAGAACAAGATTACGTGAGGAGTTTCACGCTCTAGAATATTCTTAACGTCTGCCACCATGTTCGTATCCTTCAAACCTTTTCGAACCTCGACAATGGTTCGAGAGTTGGGTTGCAGCTGCAAAGTGATCTCTGTTGCGATCCCTAACAAACCCAATCCTCCTACCAGAGCTCTCACCTCCTTTACTCCATTCTCTGTCTGCAAATCACTCACAATTACCTCCCCTTTCGCGTTCACCCACTTAATCCTTACCACCAGGTCGCCTAAGCTGCCGGCAACCCTGAAACCAGAGCCATGCGCCGAGGCCATTACTATTCCCCCAACAGTCAGATTGGAGTAAAGTGAAAGAGCCCCCGCAGGTACCGACATATCATGAGCTTCAGCTGCATTCACGAGCTCGAGGAGCGTCATCCCCGCCTCCACTGTCAGCCTATACCTCTCGACATCGACCGCCACGACGCGGTTCATGAGGTGAAGCAGCACAGTGAACGATGTTGCTCTGCTGTCAGTCTCCTTTCCAGACGATGTATCGGTCTCTGCATGTTGCTTCTTGGAGCTGCCTCGACTCCCCGAGCAGACGAATCCGGCAGAGCTATGGAACCCGCGACGAGTGGCGCGGATTTTCACCGGCTGATCGCCAGAAGCATGGAGCTGGATTAGCTCCTTGACCTCGTTAGTGGATCTCGGCGTGATGTGGTGGTCGGATGTGCATTTCAAGTAGTTGTCGGCAGAATACAGCGTGGTCGCACTGTCCTTGTGCGAATACGCTTCACTAACACTGGCCGAAGCAAGATTCACATCTCGAAGAAGTCCTCCGCCGACCGGCAACACCACAGCGCAGCAGCTCAGCGACACGAAAACGCTGAACAAAACCCCACTAACTCTTCCTCTGGATCCCATTGTGAACACCACAACTCAAAATCGAATAGCTAGCAGCTCTTCTGATACCCTTCCTCGTTGGCACGCAGTCTTATATATGCAGAGATCATACTGAACCGCACATGTCCTACGTCAAAACTATAAAGCCATTTCTCGCGATCTAAAAGTGGCTGTGCGGATGAGCCTCGATTGCAGATTCCTTTCCCCATGGACCACCGCAAGTGGCGATGCTGATCTATCACGAAGCGATTCTCGGAAGTTACCAAAACCGAGTGTCAACGACAGTGTCAGATGTGGTTAATGCCCATAGATATCGACAAAGGTAAAGACTGGTTTTGATGCTTGTCCTGTGATCAACATGCAGCTGGGATCATGAATTACCATTGATCCGGTAACGAAGCATTCCGCGATCCTGGATGACCGCAGCTCTCTAGAGTCATAGGTATTCGAAATATCAGCAAACCTGCCCGGGACTGATTTCTCACCGAAGGTTATCGACACCCGAGATTTCGCAGTGCACTTGTGAATCTCATGACTGCATTGGTAACATCAACATGGTGTCGATGAGGTGGTTGATTTACTGGAATGGCCATCGTTCCAATACATTGGAAGTGGTGGAAGATAAGGTGCCGAGTATAAGGGACTGTGGTCGGTGATCATATGGTTCACAAGCAAAACGTTTTAAAAGATTGACCAAATTGTGTGAGTATTTTTATAGCGCGGAGATAGTTTATCAACAAAAATTGTGTGTCCACTTAACTTTTATGGCTCCCAATTCTGCATGTATGAAATAGTCTTGTTCAAGATGGATAAAGCACAATTCTAAATTTTCTTAGTCGACCAAATTCTCAAATTATTTGTATTTTTTTTTTTATTGTGTACTAAGAATACAATGAAAAATATGTTGAAATACTTTTGTTGTACATGAATTTGCTATATCTCATGTTTAATGTTTATATATCAAATAAAATGTATTAGTATAGCTTTTTTGATTGCATGTATTATAAAAAGAATGATTGCTTAGTTAGATTTTATAATTGGAAATATTTTTTTTCAACATTTGGTTTATAATTTCTATTTGACATTTTTAGAATTCATAAGTTGTATCTCTTGTTTTGCATTGTAAGATATAAGTATCTATCTATGAATCACTTAAAGAAGAGAGAATCTAAACATGGTTTTTTATTAGACCACAAAAAAAAACCTTATGATTTTATACTTGTTTGCCATATTTGTTTTGCAGAAGGCACAACTTTGACTATACATAAAAAAAATCTTTAATAGAAAAACTTATCTAATCTACAAAAAAAATAAAAATAAATGGTCTTAAGTTTATTGACACATATTCAGTCTTAAGTTTATTTGTTTAATATTAAAATTTTAATGATTATTATTTAACTTTTATATATATATATATATATATATATATTGAAAGTAATATATTATCTAGCATCTACAATTATAAGCATTATTATTAAGAATACAAGCAAAATTTTCAAATCTTTGGTTTTAGATACCAAGTTTGCCTTTGTGATTATGTATGTTAAGTATACTTCTATTCTTTAAAAATTCTAATATCAAACCATTAATATATTATCTGAATTGAAGGAACTTATTCAATTTCTCAACTAAACATGACTTTATATCATAAGGTAGAATGATGAATCAATTTTAAATATTTTAGAAATAATAACATGATAAATATATTATATTTTATTATAATTTAATCAATATAAAATTTATTCAGAGAATTAAAATACTTGTAAAATTAAAAGTTAAATTATTAAAATAGTCACAAAAAATGATAGAATAAATTAAATATGTGTTTTTTTAAGAAAAAAACTTTATATTGACTAATGGCTATAATATATATATATATATATATATATATATATATATACGATTTTTTCTTTTTTTTAAAC